ATATATTATTGAATGGAAAGCCTAAAGATATCTATCTGTAAAGTCTTTGAAAGGGCTGACACTTATCTATGTAACAAGGACAAACATAAAAAAAAAAATCATGAATCTTTAATAAAAAAAATTAAAACCTAAATTTTAACAATAATTGGGATTTTGGTAGTGATTGTTTCTCTTTCAATTTGAGAATGATGTTCAAGAGTTAAATCTATGATCAACAAGAAAAGGCAAAATAGAAAGGGAGAGAACAACTGTCCATGGAATTCATGTTCTTCGCTCCCTCACGTCTAATCCCTCAGACAACATAAATGTTTGTGGGAATATAGGATCAATTCGATCAAGACAATTAGACAAAACACAAATGAAAAAGAAAAGAAAAAGGAGGAAGAAAAAGATGTTAACTAATTAAAATTGCCTAATGATAGTGAAATACACTTTCCATTTAAAAAAGAAAGATAATTAAAGAACTATTAAAGCATTTGGGCAACCCTACTTGAAATATTATAGCCAATCATATGAAGACAGCAAACCCATGTGGGGAGAAGATATAGACATGCAGACTGAGCATATAAATTAAAGAAATTAAATGTATGATGATCGATGTCATTATAATCCATTATCCAAGATAAAATTCAATCATATCAGAAAGGATCATTGCAAGAAGAATTATCATGATAGAATTCTATACAAACGACTACAGGAAACAGAAAAAAAAGGTTGAGATATGGAGAGGATGGGGGGCAGCTCTCAGAGCAGTTGGCTGAGAGTTAATGCGCTTCGTACAATGGGGAGTGAGGTATCTTGTGATGTTATTAATAAGAAATTGAGAGGGTTTCAAACGTATTGGTTAATTAGGTGCATTGCTTTTAAGCAGGTGATGTTGATATCTTTGTTTGCATTGTTTCCTTTTGTTTGAAGTTGGAATTGATGGCGATCCAATGTTCTTGTCAACTCCTGTCGATGTGCGGTTGTAGTGTAATACATCACACTCTTGGCCTTGCCTTAGCTATGGCTTCTGCGTGCATGGCATGGCGAATTCCATTGTTTAAACATGTCATCAAAAAACTCTAGCCGATACCCCCGAGCTTCTGTCAAATCCGGGGCCACAATAACTTCTTGTATTTATATCTATGAGTTGACGATTAATTATACTTTATTTAAAATATATGCTGATCTTAAATTTTTAAGAGTGAAATTCATTTCGATTTTACCTCTAAATAAATGTTTGTCTATATGAAGTAATTTTTATGTATTATTATTAATTTTTTCTTTGTCAGTCTGCTACTCACTTCCCTGACATGAATTTATTTCGGACCATAGGCTATTGTTTTTAACAAGTTTTATGAAAATTGTAAGAGGAAAATAAATCTTTTACTTGAAAATGGAATAAAGTAAAATTGAGACGATTCTTTCCTTTCACCTTTTCCCACTTCTAATCTCTCATGTAATAATAATAATAATAATAATAATAATAAAACAGTATAAGGTGTAAGATGGTACTATTCCTTAACCAATTCTACTTGCCCTCACCCTTATATAATCAACTACAAATATTAACACTCTTGATATATTAATAATTATGGGTACTTTTATTACCAAAATAAATAAATTGGTAGATTGATGAGTTGTTTTCAGATTATGCAATTTGGCCCACTTCCCATTTAAGTTGTCTCTCTCTGTCAACTTCCAATCCTTTCACCATTTGCATTTGTAGTATTGCAGAACATGCAACTTTTGCAAGAAGATGAGGACATTAGAGAGCTGCTTACTTCTAAAGAAAAGACATATTCCCATGTGTAGAGAAGGAAAGGGTCAATCAATTTGATGTTTCTTTCTGTTTTTGTATACATGTGTGTGTATAGATATATATATATATATATATA